GTGTGTGTGTGTGTGTGTGTTACTGTGTGTGTGACTCTGTGCAAAGCGTGAGTCTCTCAGCTTAGTGTTTACACGTCAATGTGGGGAAGTGTGCGTCCCCACATGAAGTGTGGGTCATTGTGCCTGCACGTGGCAGTGTCTCTTTGCAGGCTGCAGACTGCTGGGTGGTCGTGAGGACTAAGGTGCATTTTCCCCGAATGTGGGGGAGACGCAGCTGTGGCGAGGGGTGGGAGCGGGGGTACCACTCCCCATGAGCTGGCTTCTCCTGTCCAATTGAGTATCCTCAAAGTGTGCCCACGTGGGTATCCTTGTGTGTGGCATGTTCCCTGGAGTGTCTGTGTACCTGTTTGTGTGGTATTCTCCATGTGTGTCTGTCTGAACCTGTGTGTGTTCATGGGGTGTGCTTCCTGAGGTGTGTCTGTGTGTATCTCTGTATGTGTGTGTGCATGGTGTCTATTCCCAAGATGTGTGTGTTTGTGTGTTTTTGTGCAAACGTGTGTAGCCTGTTCCCCAAGTATATGTGGGTCTGTATCTGTATCTGAGTACAGGGAGGGGGGTTCCTGGGTTGTGTGTCCGTATATCTGTCATGTGTTCCCTGCAGTGTGTGTGTCTGTGTGTACATGGGGGGGGCATGGCTTCAGAGGTGCATGCCTGTTTTTGCAGTGTTCTCCGTGTGTGTGTGTGTATCCGTATCTTGTGCCATGTCCGCTACGTATACGTGCACATGGATGTATAGTCCATGTTTCCCCGGGGTGAGAATGTGTGTTTCTGGATCCACTGCAGCAGCCCACAAGCCTGCCAAGCATACCATTTGCTTAAAGACACTTCCCAGCCAGCTCCCTGGTGCCGACTGTGCCTGCCAAGGGCAGGTGACCAGGCAGCACTGGCCAGACTGAGACCTTAGCAGGTGGGCAAAGGGGGCCGCAGCAGCTCCTTCCCCGGCTGTCACTGCCCCCATTCCTGCCTGCACTTCCTCCTGGTGCATCTCCCAGGTCCCTGCCCCCTGCTTTCACTACATTTCTTCTCTTCATCAAAACTTACCCACCCAAGGTTCCATGCCCAACAACAGCAAGTTATCAGTTCACCTACGTAACTAAGCGCCAAAGTCCTGAAGACTCAGGCAGGCACACTGTGCGTGTCACAGCAGGCTTCCTCTTTCAGCCCTCCCGACAACCTTACAGGTGACGTAGTATTAGCATCCCCATTTTACAGTTCAGGAAACTGAGGATCGCAGAGGTTAAGTGACTCTCCTAAGCTTATGACTGCAGTACTTTCCAACGTGGAGAGAAGTTACACCATGACTTGGTGGGCAGAGGTGCAAGAGGTGAAATTACTCAAATAGGATTACACAGCGATGGTGATGATGATTAAAGCTGTCAGAGTCTTAATTAGGTCGCAAGAACTGTGCTCAGCCCTTGCCATGTAGAATGTCATTGACTCTTCACAGCAAACATAAAGAAGGCATCATGTTATCCCCATTTTACTGATGGGGAAACAGACTCACGAGAGGTGCGATGATGTGCCTCTTTGGAGGGAAGGGCAAAGAGCAGAAGTGGGCTACATCTTCCTAAGGACTCTTCATTTGAAGAGGGGACAATGCCTTGGTCACAGGAACTGACATCAGTAAATATTCCAGAGGGGGAAAATGTTCATCATAAAATGTCTTTGGAAAACCGGTATTTACCATCGCTAACCATATTGCCTTATGCAGGACTTATCAGAGCCTTTAATAAGTGCTCATGTATGTTGTGAATTTCCAAGTGGAAGACAGTGAAGTATTTCCTAACTGATCGCTAAATCCTTCCCCAGAACTTCTTATGGGGATCAGTGATCCTCATAGCAAACTGTAAGAGAAGCTGGAATAGCTAAATCACTAACAGTTGGGTTTCAGGCACAGTGGCCAACGCGAGGGAGCAGTTGCAAGCCGAGTGTTCTCACCAGGCAGGATGCGTGCAGTGGAATGGGGGAGAGTCAGTACTAAGTCTACGGTACATTCCATTATCACCGGGACAGGGGTCCTGGTCACACCGCACCCCATAATAGAAGGATTTCGAGATGTCGAGTAGGAATGGTGTTCGCTGGTGGTCGTTCCAGACGACTGGGACAGGCACATAGGGGTCGGAGCACGCCCACTAGCCAGAGCCGAAGGCATCCCACGGTCCCCTGATCTTCTGGTATGAGGGGGCTGCAGCCTCTTCTCTTCTCCCCTCAGGGTCCCCGCGCTCCCGGTGAAGAACTTGAACGGTACGGGGCCAGTTCACCCCGCCCTGGCAGGTGAGGTCCAGGCCGGGACAGGAAAGAAGGGCGGGGCCCACGAGGAGACAGCCCCGCCTGCCCCCGTGACTCCGCCCCCTAACGGGGGTGGTGGGCAGGGCCCAGAGGAAACGCCCCCTACCATTGGGCCGTAACACTGGGGGCGGGGACCGCAGAAGGCACTCCACTTGGCTTCAGCCTTGGGTGGGGCTGAGTGACAGGGCCCAGGGGGCACCTCACCCACCCATCTGAGGATTTCTGGGAGCACCAGGCGGGCGGAGCCTGGGGGGAGACCCCCAGGAGTCCACTCCAGGACGGGAGCGCAGGGCGGGCGGGGCCAGGACGAGTGCCCCGGCCACTAACTGTCCCAGCCGCCCCCTCAGGGATGACCGGGATCCTGCTCTGCGCCGCCGGGCTGCCCGTGTGCCTGACGCGGGCCCCCAAGCCCATCCTGCACCCGCCACCCGTGAGCAAGAGCGACGTCAAGCCTGTGCCAGGCGTGCCCGGGGTGTGCCGCAAGACCAAGAAGAAGCACCTCAAAAAGAGTACGCCCTCCACGCCCGACCCCTGAACTTAACCCCATTAAGCCTTGACCCCTGACCTCCAATTTGTTCTTAGGACTTATGACCCCACCTCAGCTCCCGTTCCCTGACCCTATCCGCCACCAACTCCCATGACATCAAACGTGACTCCTGCCAGCCCCTAAGCTTCTGACCCCACCCTGCTGACCCCTGACCCTGACCTGAGCCAAGCCCTCAAGGCTAGACTCTGGGTACCCTCAAGCCTACCCCACCCCTCTGTCCTTGCAGGTAAGAACCCCGAGGATGTGGTTCGAAGGTACACACAGAAAGTGAAGAACCCACCTGATGAGGTGAGCCCCCTACGGAAGGGTACCTGGGCAGAGGGCAGGCGGCCACGCCTCCAGAGATGGAGAGCCCAGCCTGCCCCGCCTCTCCCGTGATACAAATTCCTTCTGTTTCTATGGGTTACAGTCTCTTCCCCCAGTTTGTTGTGGGTTTGCCGTCTCACTTTCTTTACGATAAATCTTTTGATAAACAGAACTGCTGACGTTAAGCAGAATCACGATTATCAATCTTTTGATGCTTAACAGTTTTCGCATCTTATTTTCACCCATATTTTCCGCCAAATGTGTTTAAGTTTTGCTTTCAATAGCTAAGCCTTTAATCCCACTAGAGAGGGGCGTGAGGGAGCCAGCTCTTCCTCTGCCAGGTACCTGAATTGGGGTGGAGGCTGGGGGTGGGTTTCTCCCTTTGACTAATGGGTGCCAGAGAGGGGGTGGTCTGCTGCCCTTGGGAGGTTGGGGTCTGGCCCCCACGGAGAGGAAGTACTGACCCCGGCAGGGGGGTGCCGCACCCTCCCCAGTTCTCAGTCTCCGTCTGTGCCCCCTCCCCTCCCTTAGGACTGCACCATCTGCATGGAGCGTCTGGTCACAGCCTCTGGCTATGAGGGCGTGCTTCGGCACAAGGGCGTGCGACCAGAGCTGGTTGGCCGCCTGGGCCGCTGCGGTCACATGTACCACCTGCTGTGCCTCGTGGCCATGTACTCCAATGGCAACAAGGTGGGCTGGGTGGGGCAGCGGGTGGGGAGTTGGCAAGAGGGCTGGGCGGGGCCAGGGCACCTGGGGACCTCACGACCCCCCTCCCCCGCCCCAGGATGGCAGCCTGCAGTGCCCCACCTGCAAGGCCATCTATGGGGAGAAGACGGGCACTCAGCCACCTGGGAAGATGGAGTTTCACCTCATCCCTCACTCGCTGCCCGGCTTCGCTGACACCCAGACCATCCGCATCGTCTATGACATCCCTACTGGCATCCAGGTGAGCCCTCAGATCCTGACTCCTCTGAACCCTCCAGAGCCCCCCAACTGCTGTCTGTAGTTCAAGCCCCTGCTGCCCCTCCCCACAGGGCCCTGAGCACCCCAATCCAGGCAAGAAGTTCACTGCAAGAGGCTTCCCGCGCCACTGCTATCTGCCCAACAACGAGAAGGGCCGGAAGGTGGGTGCCATGAGGAACAGGCTGGGCTCCAGCTACCATCAGCTCAGCCTGTGGTCCCCGTTCTCCCCAGTCCCTGCACCAGTATCAACCATAACCACCGTGTGTGTTGAGTGTGTGTGTGTGTGTGTGTGTGTGTGTGCGCGCCTGGCCCTGCTGGTCCACTCACACACCTCATCTCATTTACCAGCCTGCTGAGGTCAAGGTCTTGACCCCATTTCAGAGATAAAGAAATGCAGGCTCAGAGAGGGCAAGCCACTGGCCCACGATCACAAAGCTAGTAAGTGGTGGAGCCTGGATTTGAACCCAAGCAGTCTAGGCTCTTCACTACCCTGCTAGAGGTTGCCTACTTTTACTTTTTGTTTTTCAAGAGAGTCCAGAAATTCCGATTTTCATGTGAAAATCACCAGGTTTTCAAATACTGCCAATGAAGTCACGAAGTGGCTATTTAATATAGTGTGAGGTCCGAACCAAACACAGCTGAGGACCATCAGCTTCAGACCCTTCCCCTCAAAGAAACAGGCAAATACCATGGAAGGAGCTTTTACTGGGGTTGCTCAGAGTGGGAGTCAGTCTAGGGAAGGAAGTAGCCAAGCCGGGCAGCCACAGGGAATCCTGCGGAGGAACCACAGTGTGGTCAGGGAGAGAGGGAGGCGGGCTGGAGGGACTCAAGCTGGGGGCGGGGCTGCCCGTGACCTCTACCCACCCCGCCCCGCCCAACCCCCCACCCTCCAGGTGCTGAGGCTGCTCATCACCGCCTGGGAGCGGAGACTCATCTTCACCATCGGCACATCCAACACGACCGGCGAGTCGGACACCGTGGTGTGGAACGAGATCCACCACAAGACCGAGTTTGGATCCAACCTCACGGGCCATGGCTACCCAGACGCTAGCTACCTAGACAACGTGCTAGCCGAGCTCACAGCCCAGGGTGTGTCCGAGGCCGTGGCCAAGGCCTGAGGCCCGAGGCTGCCCACTCTCCCTCCTGCTTTGCCCCTGGTCCGCCACATGCCTTCCTGCGCCAGGTGTGCCCTGGCAGCCCGGGCTCAGGTCTGGGGAGGAGCCCGCGGGAGGGGCCAGAAGCAATCCGGGGATTTGGCTGGTGGCAGTTGGTATGATGGGAGGATGGTGGGCCCGCGGGCTCTGACCAATTGCTCCCCGAGAGGGTCACCAGAGTGTACTGGAAACCACAGCAACCTCCCTATCAGAAAGACAGAGCCCCACTCCCTCACACAAACACAGGTGTCCTGTTGAACACATGCACGCACACCCACGTGCCTCTACTTACCCCCAGAGTGGGGGGAGAGATGGAGACCCCTGTGATACTCCATGTGGATTCCCATCTTTGTCAGCTGTACAGGCTTGTCTTCAAGCAGGACGACTCAGGTCCGGCACTTGGGGGCCTGGTGGGGCTCCAGCAGGGGACAGAGGGCCACTTGGGGGGGGGGCAGATAGCCTCCCTCTATCTCTGCCACCCACTGACAGGCGATTGTGGGCCCACGAAGGGAAAGCCCCCAGATTATTCAGCAGTTTTGCAAAGGGGCGGGCAGACAGAGGGACTAGAAGAATCTTACTTTGTGCTTGTGTCTCTTCATCCTTCTGGGACCCTGACCACCTCCTTCTCCCCTCCCGTCCCCAGGCCTCATGTCTGTACCTGATAAAGGCACTGTTTTCCTTTCCTCCCCACCCAAATCCCTACCAACAACAAGATCAAAAGGCCGGAGGAGCTTCTGGCTTCAGGAGCGAGACGAGGAGGCCTAGCTTAGGCCAGCAGGTTTAAAAAGCAGATTGGACAGCAAAGAGTCCATTTCCCTTTCCTTGGGAGTGGGCAGTGGGGTGGCTGATAGTCTCGGCCAACCAGGGGCCTGTTGCCCAGGCAACTCACCAGCTCCGCCTCTGTTGATTGGCTGCCATGGTGGAAGTCAGCCAAGATTTAAAGGGACGCCAGTGATTGCTCTTTTGAAAATCTACCAGTCCCACTGTGGGTGGAGAAATAAATGGTCTTTCTCCTCCTCAGCTGGGTCTTTTCCTGTCAAGAAGGGGGCGTAGGTGGCTCTTTCTGAGGGTCTCTGGTCCATCTGAAGGGGGAGCTTGCAACAAAATGTTGACCCAGGACCATTACCCCATCAGCACTGGGCAGCTGGAGATGGAGGGTCTCCATACTTTTGTCCTGGGTCAGGCAGGGGGTGTGATGGTGGCAGAGGCAGACCCTCCCAGTCCTAGTCCTCAAGAGGGCAGAGGGGAAAGTTCATTCTCAGGCACAAGTGCAAAGCAGTGCACACGGCTGCTCCCTGGTACAATTACTAGGAATAAGGAACTCGGGCTGGGAACTGAGAGTCTCCAAGAAAATATGGAGGAGCTGGGGGATGCCATCATTAGCTCATCAGAACCCCCCAGGCCTTGCCCTCAGGGAGGAGGAGCAGGTTCTGCCCAGGGAGAGAGAGGGACATATCCCAGGATCTGCAGCATGCCTATCAGCCTCTGCAACATCCCAGGATGCTGGGTTGCTGTGGTGGATGCTGAGGCTCCACGCGACCCCTGCTGGCCACTTGCAGTATAGCACTGTATCTTTCCTGGTCCAAGTCACACCTCCTCACTCACTCCCAACAACCCCCCAACACCCAAACCCAGCCAGATAGGCTTTGGTTTCTGTCCTACCCTCTAGTCACATAAAATTGGAAATGAGTCCTTGGAGACCTTTCCAATTCCACTAGTTAGGTGTTCCAAGACAGTTTACCTTGTGATTCATCCTCAAACAAAATCTCACCTCAAACACTAATATATAAAATCACCGTGACCCTCAAATCTCATACGCATCCACATCACCTGTGAAAATTGTCAAAAATCCTGATTCCTGCCCTCACACTCCCTCAGATTCTGACTCAGTAGATCTGGGTGGGTCCCAGGAATCTACTTTCCTGGCAGACAAACCAGACTGAGACCACAGTCTGAGAAACCCCTCCCTGGCACCCAGGCTACCTCCATGGAACCCAGTTTGAAAACCACACATCTAGACTCACTCCCTCCTCATTTTTTTACAGGATAAACTGAGGCTCAAAGAGACGGAAAGAGCCTGGCCCGAGGTCTCCCAGGCTCCACGGGTCTGAGTCTGGGCTCTCAGCCTGTTATTCCTGTGGGCATCTGATTCTGGAAGCTTGTGGTTAGGACTCTCAGCCAAGGACAGGGTTCAGGAGGATCACTGAGGTCACATTCATTGGCAGACATGAAAACAGGAAGGGCTGAGCCTGTTTAGTGCCTGTCTGGGGCCACATGTGTATCAGGGATTCAGGTACAGCTGTATCCAGCAGCTCAGGGCCAGACTGGCCTGGTCAGTGTGGGTAGAGGCCAGTACAGTGAAGTAAAGACCTCAGGCTTAGCCAAGTGAGTCAGATTCCTTATTCCATCTACTCCAGTCTGCCTCAACCCAGAGGGTGAGACTCATTCAGTACAAGGCTGGTCCCCTGCCAGAGGGCTTCAATGCCCTGCATTCCAGGCTTAGGACACATGGGACTAGGATATTTCCAGAAGCCTGCGAGCCACAGCATCAGTGAGGCACAGGACAGCCATGAGGAGACTCCTGGGCTGGGGATGCCGGGAAGGGCCCACCAGCTCCTTACTCCTCCTTCTGGGCTCACTCTGGCATCTCCTCAGGGTCTGAGGCACCCCAGGGCCACCTTCCCCTGCTCCTGCTGCTGGAACACCTCATGGGCTTGATCCAGGTCTGCGAGGACCTCCAGCAGGCGGGCAGCGGCCTCTCTCTGCCCAGCCAGGGCATCAGCACAGGCCCCTGGGAGGGAGACAAGGAGCCCGCAGCAGCTCAGCCAGACCAGGCAGGCTGCTGTCATCCAGATCCAGCGGCTTCTCAGGCTCCAGATGCACCGGGTGCCCTGAGAATCCTAAGACGTACCAGAGCCCCCCTCCCACCCCCAACACCACCCTCTGTGGGCTGGAAACAGGAGAGCGGGGGTGGAGAGGACAAACTGTGAGAGGTACCAGGGTGGCAAAGAAATGGGACCTCTTTATCCTCCTACCTTCCGTGGCACTGGAGCCCTTCTCTGGGTCTGCCTCCGGAGTTGCATCCATGTTGGAATCCTCCAGGAATTTCATCCTGGAAGTTAAGATGGGGAGAACCAGGCTGCTCCCTGAGTCCCAATCCTGGTCTCTAACTCAGAAATTCCACTCTTTCCACAAGACAATTCAGGTTTCCAGTAAATCATCACCATCACCATCACCACAGTAAACATGTGTAGAATGCCAGATGCTGTTGAACCCTTTTACACGTATAAACTCATTTAATTAGCACAAAACACTTAGGTAGGTACTTACCGTTTGCTCCATTATACAGATGGTCACTGAGACACAGAGAGGTTAAGTAACTTGCTTAAGGTTGCACAGCGTAATAATAATTGTTACCCTTTATTGAAAGCTAACTATGCAGCCAGGCACCTAAAAGTGCTTTACCTGTATTAGCTTATTTGGTCCTCAGGACAACCCCATGGGTAGGTACTATTGTTATCCTCATTTTCCAGATGAGGAAACTGAGATACAGAGAAGGTAAGCAACTAGCCCAGGATCACACAGCCAGTGAGTACCCAGCCCAGTGACTTGAAGCCAGGCAGGCCAGTTTCAGAACCCACACTATGAGGTGGAACACATCTCCATCGCTGAATTACAGTGATCCTGAGGCCAGACAGGAAGTGGAAGGGACACATTCAAGGTCCATGTCTGTGTCTCTGGAGTCCCGGGTATCAAAAGACCCCAAGATCCAGTTCCACATCAGGGCCCACCCAAGGATGCTTCCCAGCCCTCCCCTGGTGCCTGGACCCCCGGGAAGTTCATTAGATGCACGTGGAAAGAATGATCACATGATCATGGGGAGGCCACATCGGGTGGCTGCCCCAGCTGGTCATAGTGAAGTAGGCTGGGAGTGGGTACCCACCTGAGCTGGTCCCGCCCGAGGAGCAGCTGCCGATATACCATCTGGGTCTCAGCATCAGGATCCAGCGGGTCACTCCAGTCCCCCAGGGTGACAGCCGAGTGTGTGCGGCTGCAACCGGCAGCTGAGGGGGGCCCAGCGTCATCAGTAACTTCCCATTCCCCTTACAGAAGCCCTCATGGCCAGGCCGTTACCAAGCCCTGCCCCTTCTGCCTCTAAAATTACTCTTCAAACCTACCACTTCCTTCAAGCCCCACTGCCTCCACCTTGCACGGAGCAGTAACCTCACTTCTCCCTGCGGCCCTCCCACTTTCTAGGCTCCAGCCACACAGACTTCTTCAATCCTTCGGCCTACTTTTGCTCTGCCTCAAACACTCTCCCTTCCTCCAGCCCTTTCTCCAACTTCTCTACTTAGCCCTCACTCTTCTCAGGGCACATTTAAGCAGCACCTCCTCCAGGAAGCCCTCCTTGCTGTCCTAGGCTAGGCCCTCCTGGAGTTGGGTCTAACATTTTCTGGAGTCTCAAAAGCCTCATCTTGGCACTTGTAACACTGTATTACGATTGTCTGGTTATTCACTTGTCCTCCTTGAGAGCAAGCCTGGTGTCCCTGTACCACTAGACGCCAGGCATTTAGTGGGTGCTTAAAAGATAACACCTCACACTTAATGAGCCCTGTGTGCCAAGCAGTGTTCTCATCGCTTTGCATATATCAACTCATTTAATCCTCACAGCAACCCTACAAGGAAGCAACTTTATCAACTCCACGTCACACTTGAGACTAAGGCAGAGAGAGGTTAAGTAACTTGCCCAAGGTTGCACCGCCAGCCCAGGTGGAGGTGGGGCGCCCTCTTGATTGATAAGCGTGGAGGGCGGAGCCTGAGTCCGCCCCACCCCCTCACCTGAGCGCTCGGCCTGGAGGCAGCAGGTCCAGTGGGCGCTGCGGAAGGCGCCCGGGTGGCAGGTGGCCAGCTTGTCCGGGTTGCGTGCGCTGGCTTTGCGCAGGGCCGACAGCCATTGGTTGAGCTCGTTCACATTCTGCAGGGAGTTGGAGGGTGGTCAGAGGTGGGGTGAAACCAAAGGCCCTCCCTCCTGCCCTTCTCCATCCTGGCAGCCCCTCACCTTGCACTGGAGGTAGGTGGTGTGCGGCGCCCCCGCGCCGTCCTGCGTCACCACCTGCATCACGTACGGCAGCTGGAAGGCGCCCTCGTCCACGCGCTCCACCGCGCGGATGTGCGACACCGGGATGGAGGTGCGCATCTGTCAGAGAGGACTGTCGCTGCAGGGCGGGCTGGGGACTGGGACCGGTTGGGGGCGGTGGGGCTGAGCAGCTTTCCTATAGGTGAGTGCATTAGGTGGTGTTCCCTGCGTGGGGGCATTCAACCCTGTGCATCTGTGCTATGTGCATGTACACTTGGCAGTTCCATGAATCGCACAGTCCTACTCCCCCTACCCCGCTCTCTCTAAGTGACAGCTTCCCTGGGAATCAGTTTCCATCACCATCATCATCATCATCATCATGATCACCACCACCACCATCACTGATATGTCACTTGGGATGTCATTTTATACACTTATCAATCTATTTCATCATCACAGCAAATTTCTCAGGCCAGGTCTATTAATACTTCCTAATTTGCAGATGAGGAAACTGAGGCACAAGAGGGTCAAGGACCCTCTGACGTCACTCAGCTGTTGAAGCCAGACTTGGAACCCAGGGAGTTAAAGTCTAGAATCTACACTCTGCTGATAAATTGGAAAGAGTTAGAGAGCGTGAGCCCCCTCTCTAGTGTTAGCTATTATTTTTCATGGCTATGCAGATGCAGAAATGGGTAGATTCCAGTGTGTGCCTCAGTTTGTGCTGGACTTGAATGGCAGCCCCGTGAGAGCAGGGATTTTATGTTTTGTTTATTGCTTTATCCTCCAGTGCCTAGAACACTGCATGGTACATAGTAGGTGCTCAGTTAATGCTTGATGAATGAAGGAATGAATGAATGAATGAATGCCAGGGTGTGTGCGCTGATACAGCATGTACCCCTGGGTAAGCAGATCCAATTTTATATGAGTCTGTATAGAATGTGGG